TCTAGAGTATAGTCTGTGTGATTCTTTTATGTACATTTTAGAAGAATGATTATTCTGCTCTTGTTTGAATGAAGGGTTCCAGAAATACCAGTTAGGCCAGTTGGTTGATAGTGTTGGCCAGATCTTCTATACCCTTAATTGATTTCATCTACTTGCTGTAGGGTAGGGCGCTCTGATGCCTCATTGGTAAGGAGTTTCACTGTCAACACAAGGGCATGCAGTTCAAATCCACGAGCCACTCCACAGGAGAAAGATGGGGCAGTTCCTTCCTGTGCCATTTCCTGCCTCTGAAAACCCACTGGAAGATGAACTATTGGTCACTTCTGACTCAACAGTACCTACCAGCAGTCTGTAGGGAGTTGTCCTCCTAACCCAAAGACAGTGCCTCTAGTGATTTGAATCCCACCTGCAGCTCTACAGGAGAAAGATGGGCAACCTCCAAAGGCTCCGAGATGGTGAGCCATGCGCCAATTCCGACTTGATAGCAGTGATTGGGGTCCTGTCAGTTACTGAGAGAGGTGTGAGTGTTGCACACTCTGGCTGTAGGTTTTCCTTCTGTAATTGCTTTTGGGTTTTGTATTATGTATTTTAAAGCACTGCTATTACGTTTGTACACATTTGATCCTGTACTGTCCCCTTGATCAATTGAACCTGTTAGCTTTATGAACTGTCTTTTCCAGGTAATCCTCCTTGCTCTGAAGTATGTTTTGCTTAATACTAAGTGAACTACTCAGGCTTGCTTTTAATTAAAATCTGTCTGCATAATCTTTTTCCTCCATCCGTTTCCTGGTTTTGTTTTTTTTAAACTAGTTTATTTACTAAATTCTAATACAAATTCGAACAGATTCTTTCCATTTCCTGCACCCCTCCACCCATCAAATTGTACAATCCAATGATTAATCTCTTCCCCTGAACATCCACATCCCGCTGCTTCCAGCCTCTCCCACCCCTACTGGACCCTTATACTCATTCTACAATAACAGTTTTATATAATATTTATCCTTGTGGGACAGAGTTAGTTCACTCAGCATAATGTTCTCCAGTCCTTCCCAAGATAGGTAATAATTTACAAAGTCATTGCTCCTACGTGTTGCATAGTATTCCATTGTGTGAATGGACCATATTTCTCAATTCACTCGTTTGTAGTTGGACATTTGGGCTGTTTCCATGTTCTTGCGATGGTGACAATGGTGTACAAGTCTCAGGTGGTGCCTCAGTTCTCATATTCTCAGGGTATATTCCAAGTAGTGGAATAGCTGGGTCATATGGAGTTTCCATGTTCAGCTTTTTGAGGAAGCCCCAAACTGCACTTCAAAAGCTTTTTCCAACAGGGTGAAAAGAAAACGTACAGACTGGGGACAAACATTTGGTAATACCATCTCAGACAAGAGTCTTAAAACTAAAGTTCACAGAATACTCCTAGGCCTCCACAAGAAAAAGACTGATAAGCCAATTACAAAATGAGCAAAAAACATGGAAAGAATTTTCACAGAGGAAGATACTCGAATGGCAGACAGACACATGAGAAATTTTCCAAATCACTGGCAATGAGAGAAATGCAGATCAAAACCACAATGAGGTACCATCTCAAGCCAGTAAGAGTGGCAAAGTTTAACAGGGCAGCAAGTAATAGATGTTGGAGAGGATGTGGTGAGAAAGGAACTCTTATACATTGTTGGTGGGATTTTAAAATGGTGCAACCCATCCATTTACTTTTAAACTACTTGTGTTGTATCTTTATATTTAAACTTGTTGGATTAATTTTTTGTGTGCACAACATATGTGACTTTCATGTTATTTCTCTTGAGATGCTTAAGTTGTTAGCATTTAATGTATTTCTTATTTGGTTAGGCTTATGTCATTTTGTCTTATTGCTCTTTCCCTCCAACCTCCTCACACCATGAATTCTTCTGTAATTTGTTTATCTCTTACCTTCTTTTCGATTGAGACTGTTGTTTGGTTTGGGTTTTTTTTTTTTTTTATGATTCCATATTATTTCCACTATAACCTTATTAGTGATATCTTGTTTTCTTTTTCTGGTGGTTGCTCATGACTTTATAGTATATGTCTTTACATTTTCACAATCTGTATTTAGGTAATACTATGACACTTCGTGTATGCTGCAAAGACCATAATAATCAGTCTATTTTTATATTTATTTTTTTAGACTGTTGTTACATATGTGACTTCTACATATGTTACAGGTCTCAACAAGAATTACTATTTATTTACATAGAATTTTAAAAATGTCTTTTCAGAATATTAAATTGTAAAAAAAATAGTCTTTTATATTTACCCAACTATTTATCATTTTTTGTGTTCTTTATTCATTTGTTCCAAACCAGTTTTCCATGTAGTATCATTTTCCTTCTACCTAAAACATTTTAACATTTCTCATCATGTAAATCTACTAAAGATAAATCCTCTTACGCTTCATTTTGCTTTTAATTTAGAAAGATATTTTCTGTATAATA